ATTTTTCACACACACTCTATTCATCTCAATAATCAATCCTCCAAAAAAAATTTATTTGAAATCTAGATGTGGTGAAAATGAGTTCCCCACAACAATTAATCTAGACCATTGATTTGGTGGATTTCAAGATCTTAGCCGTTACAAACTCAAAATCATTTCTTTCTTCTTTAACATTGTTCATCTATTGACAATAAACCCATCTAAAAAATTGGAAAAGAAAAAATCCTTTTAAGGTCTCGATCTAAGCATATTAAAAAAATGGACGGTCTATGTTAATTAAATTAAAAAATAGCTTCAAGGTTGCATTTTAAAATTTTTATTTTTGGTGATTGTTCATTAGAATCAAAAGAGTGTATATTTTAAAAGTTGGATCAAACAAATGGTCCTAACATGGTTTTTAAAGGTTGTTGCATTATATTAGTATACAACCGTTGCATGAAATCACTGCCCCTATATAAAATTTATAGCTTTGGAATCAAATAGTGGGAAACAACATGAATGTAAAGTTTATAACATGAGTGCATAATTTTTTTAAATTAAATATGTTGTTTCATTTGTAATTTGCGTAATATTTGTTCGAAGTGAGAGCATAATTTTTAGTACCAAATTATATATTTTAATTTATTTAGGCTTTTAAGCAAAATTTTGAATTTCAAAAGTATAATAGATATAATAAAGTGTCTTAATTTAATTTTATAAAATTTGTAATTGTATGTTACATTCACGATTTTAATTATTATATAAAAATTAATAATGAATCAATTTTATAATAACAGTAGAATGCCAAATTAAAGAAAATACTATATACTTGTATATTATTAAAGATAAGAAGAGGATTGTTTTTACAATAAAGCTATTGGTTATTTTAGAATAATGAAAATTAGCCTCATTGCTACTCCCCCATGTGGAATTGGAAGATGTAAAAGTATATTGTCTAAAGTGCACCCATAAGAACACGTTGTATATTTGATCCATCAAAAAAAAATATTAGTAGTATTTTATGTATAAATATATTAAAAAAAATTAAATTTTGAGTTCTTAATAAAAATTTGTGACAAGAGATCATACACATAAAGATCGTAACATTAGCTACATTGTCAATGACCTCATGTTGTACTCTTCAAATTTGCAATATACACGTGTGAACTGCTTTTTGATTGACACGTAGGCAAGCACCCTTTTATGCCATGCTAATTCTTTCCATCCCAACCTAACTTGGTTCTCTCCGAACCTATGATGCTTCACATAGAGGATAGAGATGGGGCAATATTTTTGATGTAAAAATAATATCCGAAACCGTGCGAGAGGGTCCATACTCTTTTCTCCACCCCAAATTCTCTTGCATCAAGCAAATTCCTCGTCGGCTACCAAAGCCACAAATCAATAGAGGTAAGGCACTTGCTCTTCCTATCTCCCCAACAAATTACTAAATCCAATTATTAGTTTTCAAAATTATGACTTTTTTTTTTTATGACAGGTGAAATTAAAGAGAGGGGAATATTACTTCAATATACTATAGTCCATGAGTTAACAAACATATGCACCATAGCTAAAAACTGGGCATCTACTCCCTCTCTATGAAGGCATACTTAGGAGATTTTTTCGGTTTGACAGTTTAGGAACCTAAAATTTAGAGCCTTAATATTACATCTTCGAAGGAGTCCTAAATTATTTAAAATTTTGTCCAAAGGAGTAAATGGATAGTATATTTTTCGCGGAACTATAAATCTCTTAGCTTTCAATAAAATAAGCCTATTTATAATCTAATTTACCAAAATACCCACAATCAACTATGTTAGTAAAGTACTTGTGGAGGAACTTGATTGAAATATCTTAGTGCATATTTATTTTAAGAAATTATTTTGTATAATATTTTACATGTGGTGAGGTTTGTAGGTCCGTTCATTACTTAAGGAATAATATTTTTCAATTCATTTATAAAAACCTAAAGGTTGTGGATGGCTGACGTGTGGCTAAGACCCTCTGCCTTGTACACATCAGCCTTCCACGTGGACACGAACGAGTGGAAATGAGTCAACAGTACATGTGTCCACTCCAACTTCCACACTCCTTCTCACTAACTGTGTCCCCTCATACGGCTTAAAATCTCTCTCTCTAGTTTTGAAATTTTATCACTTTTTCTCACTTGCCGTTGGTTGTTTTCTCTCTCCTTCCCTTCTCTTTATTTCAGTGCTTTTCAACTCATTCTTTCCCTCTCTGTCTCTGTTCATGCTTGCCCTCCAAGGGAAGTTATTGATTTAGTTAACTCCTCATATTTTGCTGAATGACCCAAGCTTCCATGATCAGTCCCTTACATCCCACAAACTTTCTTGGTCATGGAGCCTTTCATAGAGGTTTCTGCTGTCTCTCTAAAAACAAACACTCAGGGGACTATAGCTCCATGCATGGTGGTTTTGAAAGGAGACAATTTGAACCCAGTTTGGCTATCGCCGATCAGAGGCGCAAAACTGGAACGTTCGCCCAAGTTTTAGCAGCACCCAAAGAAAAGGAAGTTGCGCAATCAAGTGGGTCCTCCAAATTGGCGAAGAAGCTTCGGATTCTGATTGCTGGGGGTGGAATTGGGGGCCTGGTTTTAGCGTTGGCGGCAAGGAGAAAGGGTTTCGATGTCGTGGTTTTTGAGAGGGATGTTAGTGCGATCAGAGGAGAGGGTCAATACAGGGGGCCTATTCAGATACAGAGCAATGCCCTTGCGGCCTTGGAAGCCATTGACATGGAGGTTGCTGAGGACATCATGGATGTGGGGTGCATCACTGGTGATCGAATTAATGGATTGGTTGATGGTATCTCTGGCGCTTGGTAACAAACTCTCACACTTGTCTTCTCTCTATTTTTCCTTTTCAGTTCCAATTTTTGTTATTTCCATCTTGTTTGATGCATTAGGATATGGTTTTTTGTTGTTTTCTTTCCTACATAGTTGTACTTCGGCCTCCAAACTTTCGCATATTGAGTCACAGGGACTCAAGTCACATGACAGAGAATCCCCAAACATATGGTGTGGGTTTGAAATCATGTTTTAGATCGCCATGTTTTTGGAATTTTGACAATAGAGTTCACACTTTTAAATTATATTGAACTACGCAGAGTTATTAGACATCTTAGTGGTGGAGATACTTAAACTTTCTTCTAACCCCATCGTCAGGACTCTTCTCTACTCACTGTGCCTTTCTAACTTCCGTTTCACAGTAAAAATTTTGTGAGCGAACATTAATTTGAACTTTTTTTAATTGGATTTGTGGACTGCACTGTGGACTTCCATACTTTTGATGTTTTGAAGAAGGCAAAAGTTTAAATAGAGCCGAGGCTCCAATCAATCAAATTAGAGCCCAAATATCCTCAATTTGATCGTCTTGACATCAAGATGCATGAACATGAGAAAAAAAATGGATTTCTAAGTTTTGGAAATAGTGAATCTTGTAATGCGTTTTTTGACCATCAATTTTCAAAATTTTCATAGATCTACTTGATCTACACTATTTTTGAAGCCTTAAATTTTATAATTAAAGATGAAAATGTATTTTAAGGCTATCACAAATATGTCCAGTATTGAAACCACATTTCTCGACACTATTTGAAGGTGCATTTTACTTTGATTGTTTAGAGCCTCGGCTCTATACAAACCACCCCCTTCCAAGAAACCCTTTTGTATTTTTCAATTTTGTTGTACTTGTAGCATACTGCTCAGTGGGCTGCAAGTAGCACCAGCCTGCTGTTGTATAAAATTGATAGCTGATGTGGACGATGGCTGGCTGATTTGTACTGTTCCTGCACTCATGTAAGCAAACTCTAAGAGGGTTGAGCAGAGGAAGGGTTCACATCAGCTGGCCTTTGATGGGATGGTAGCAGAGCTGATGCTACTTGTATCATAGAGAACTATATGTTTCAAATATCATGATCTGCTTTTCTTTGCGAAAGTAACACCTTTCCAAGAAGTATTTGAATTTTCAGATGATATGTGTGGTCTGGGACATTATCCGATCCCATTTTACTATTATTTACTAATCCTCAGATTTGAATAGTGGATTGTATTTATGGAAAACCCAGAGCATATTAACGTATATATATTTTATTTCCTTATCATATTTAAGAAAAATTCTAAAATCCTATGAAAATTATGTTCCATGGCATCACGGCTAAATATAGGTTTTCATGCTAATGACTTTTTAAATCAAAGATGTATGCTTTGTGAAGAAATTTATCAGGCATAAACATATCGCGATGGATCTCTGAAGTCAGGCATTTCACATCAGTGCGAGTAATGGACACACTGTATAGATCTCATATTTTATTGCAGAGAGGCATTAGAGCAATATATACTAGGTTCTTTTTTTAGATTTAGAAAGTTTTTTGCAACATATTTTATAAATTTTACATGCTTTAGCGTCGTCTAAAACTTTCGAACATACTTTTACAGGGGAAACTATTTCGCCAATGTGAAAGTAATCATGTATCGACATTGCTCTTTAGTGGAAGGTGTGAAGAACCATACCAATTGTTATAAGAAACAATTGGTAAATAAAGAAATGCTCTAAACAAGAAAAATAGATTAACAATAAAGATTAACATATGGACAAATTGTGTAAGTCGATCAGTAGACCCAAGGATGTAACTTATGCATTCTCTAGTATGTCCTTTAGAGGATGATCTAATTATCTAACTTGTTCTTTAGTGAGAGTGAATTGGATCCCAGTTTATCGACCTTATCTACATAATGAGGCACCGTGGTGCATGCTGTTCGCAGATGACATAGTTTTGATCGATAAAACCCCAAATGGCATCAACACGAAGTTAGAAGGATGCCCTGGAAAAGGTTTTCAAATCAGTTGGACTAAATATGTAATGCAAGTTTAGTAATAATAGGAGTAGATATGATGAAGTAGTTAAGATTGACGGTCAGGAAGTACAAAAAAGACTGCACTTTTGATATCTTGTTCGATAATCTAGAAAAATTGAGAGATTGAAGAAGATGTCGCACATAGAATTAGAGTTGGGTAGGCGAAGTGGAGATGTGCAATTGGAATTTTATGTGATTGCTGCATACCATTGAAGTTGAAGGGCAAGTTCTATAGGACAACTGTGAGGCCAGCTTTGCTCTATGGGGCGGAATGTTGGGCGGACAAACAACAATATACCTATAGAATTAGTGTAGTGGAGATGAGGATGCTAAGATGGATGAGTGACAAGACAAGAAGGGATATAATTCGAAATGAATACATTCGAGAAAATTTAGGTGTGACACCAATAAGTGATAAGATGAGAGAGAGAGTAGACTTAGGTGGGCTGGCCATCTGTGGTGCCAACCAAGTAAAACACCTGTCATGAGGAAAAGGGCAAGGGGTAGGCCCAAAAAGACGTAGTTGGAAGAAGTCCGAAAAGATATGGGGGCTTATGGGCTCATTGAGGGCACGACTTTTAATAAAGCAGAATGGATGATGATGATGATGATCTATATAACATTCAAGGTCACTCAGAATTCCTATTATTATGTCACTCCATGTGGCACATAAAGCTTGTCCTTATTGCTGCAAGATTTAACCAATAATTTAACCAAGATAGATTTTACCAGAATTAGAGTTGTAATTTAACCAGAATTAGAGTTGCAAAGGGCATTTACAGTGATAAGTACCATAGAAATAACATCGGATAATATCTTTTACTTGTCAACATTAATAAAAACAAAATTCAAAAATCTTAATCCTAGTTAAATTCAAGAATCCTAGTTTTTGGAAAGGCAACAATAGAAATATTGCTCTTTCCTTTTGAGAGAATATAACAGATAGGAAAGTAGTGCATGTAACAAGATAGGAAAGTGTATATTGCATGTAACAACATAGGAAAGTGTCTATCATACTATTGTATAATATATACAATGAAAGAACCATCACAATATAAGTGTGGGAATAATAATTTTTCAGAAGAAGTTCATTTCTCTCTCTAAAATTCTTTATGGTATTAGAGCCAAGGCAGCAACCGCCTCTTTCTCTTAGTGCTTTGACAAGCAATCTTGACTCTTGAATTAGGGTTCTCGAATTTAACTAGGATTAAGATTCTTGAATTTTGTTTTTATTAAACATATGTATGTCCTCATATGTCATGCTCGTTATATGTATACAGTGGTCACCTGAACCCATCTACTTTAAGGGCAGAAATCAACGACTTGTCCTTTTACCCCTGGCCATCCCTAGGTTATTACAGGATTCAGTTGCCATGAATCCCAGTCCAAACACTCTGGACTTATGCTAACCTCTTGTAGGTTTACCTAGCAAGGTGGATAGCAGTCGAAATAGTGACTTTTATCGTATCCGGTAATAATAACAATTCATTTTATGAGGGTCATGTTTGAGAAATTTACATAATAAGAAAGCCTTAGATTGGGTGGATATATAAAGTATCCTTCGTGTATGATGGATTTGGTGTAAATGTTGTTAGGTACTAAACAAAGATAGCACCTTCATATGCAATGTCATTAATAGGGAACCACCTGGTAAAATATTTCTCCAATTTGTAGTGGTCTTAATCAATTGCAGAGAGCACCACTTGAGGATTCAGAATCTACTCTTGAATGGAAATCAAGTAGATATCTGAGTAATAACATGCATTCACTATACGATTAGCATAGGACTTCTTACTATTCTATCTTTATAGATTGCTTATTCGAGTTATCTCAAAAATTTTGAGTTGGCGTTAGGTACGTCAAGTTTGACACATACACTCCTGCCGTGGAGCGTGGACTCCCAGTCACAAGGGTAATTAGCCGCATGACTTTGCAGCAAATACTGGCACACGCAGTTGGTGAAGATGTTATTTTTAACAACAGCAATGTTGTTGATTTTAAAGATGATGGCACAAAGGTAATTTCATCTTTTCTGGCATAATTTTGAAAACGAAAAAGCTGATCATTTACGATTCATTACTTAAGCATACATACTGCTTTAATTTTCTTTATTTCTTTATGTGCTTGAAACTGGTGCATATTGACTCACTACTTTGTTATTTAAAGAAACTAGTTATTCCGTACTTGAGGCACTCAGTGACATTTTTTTTCTATTTTTTTTCCTTCCCCCCCCCCCTCCCCCCTTATCTCTCTCTCTCTTGTGTTGAGGATTCAGGTAACTGTGGTACTTGAGAATGGAGAGCAGCATAAGGGTGATCTTTTAGTTGGGGCAGATGGTATAGGTTCTAAGGTAATCATATTGCTGTACGTTGTTAGCATGTTGAATTTCTTAGGACAAAGTATCAATTAATTGTAATAACCCTTTGTAATAACAAATTCAGTTGGAAATAGGTACGTAAGTGCTTGTTTGGACCTAAAGAAGCTATGTACTCGGGTTATACATGCTACACAGGAATTGCAGATTTTGTACCTCCGGATATAGAATCTGTTGGGTATGTTATATATTTTTTGGCACATATGTTTTATGTAGAAGTATTATGAAGTCCTTTATTTGAAATACTGGTGGCTAATTTATATGTTCCCATCTGCAATTTTAAGGACTCTCCAATGCTGCATATGCCATGGAGAAAGCATAGTTTGGTTTAGCTGTATTTTTGTGACCAAGTTGCAAATTGATATGGAAAATATCTTGATGTTTTATGAGCTGTTTCTCCTGAAGGTACCGGGTGTTTTTGGGTCACAAACAATACTTCGTCTCTTCAGATGTGGGTGCTGGAAAGATGCAATGGTATGCATTCTACAAGGAACCCCCTGGTGGAGTTGATGCTCCAAATGGTACGTCTTTTACATTTGATCATTCGCAGTAATTGTGCCTGATGGGTTTGATGCATATCTGAAACATTTATCTTGTAACAGTTGGCAGTTAAACTGTGAACATGTTTTCAACTATTAATGTCTCTGTGTAAGGACGACTTGTTTCTTCTATGAACGCCTCAATGTCTTCTTGTATCTGGATTGCTCACCACCTCCTCTAATTCTTGTTTTCATCATTTGTAACTTTCTCCTCTTTGAGCTTTGTAAGGGTGTGAGCATTTGTCTTCTTGTTCTTATACATCATTATATAAGCACTTTTTAACTGTTCCCAAGCTGATACTGTATATTATCACCTATGACAGCCTGGGATTCGGTGTGAGGCTAAAATGGTTTGGGTGTTGATTATTGCAGCAATACTTTCAACTTTGAATTTGACCACTAACCTACCCAAAAACGCAGAAAATAGAAATGAACTATTGAAGGTCTCACGTATTTATTTGTTGATCTCCTGTATTTATTGAGATCAACCAATACAAGGCTCTTTATTATGTGAAGGTGTTTCTCAAATCATATTTTACACTCATAGTTGATCCAGAGTGTGCAATTCAGCCACTGGACTTTGGCAATCCCAAAGTGCATTAATTTTGTGCTGCACATGCTCCAGTTGTATTATTGTTCCCAATTTTTAGCCACTTAAATCTTATAATAAATGGCCAACATTATGCGCTTTATTTATGAGTCCTATGGGATCCCCTTGGCAGGTAAAAAGAAAAGATTGCTCGGAATATTTGGGAATTGGTGTGACAAAGTTGTCGACTTGATCCTTGCTACAGATGAGGAGATGATCCTCCGTCGTGACATATATGACAGGCTTCCAATTTTTACATGGGGAAAGGGGCGTGTGACCTTACTTGGGGATTCCGTCCATGCTATGCAACCAAATCTGGGCCAAGGTGGCTGCATGGCTATTGAGGTAAGTGCTTCATTGACTTCATTCGCCTATTCGAGGAAATTTGTTTTTGGAATAATTGTATATTTATATTCTTTACATTGCTTAGGATATAGTTCTATCAAGAACTTATCTATATGTTTTGTTTATCTGAAATAATGTATAGATGTTTCCTTAACCAGATGTCTTTAGGAGTGTGGCTGTGCTATGTTATTTATAATATTAAGTTTGCCATTTCTCTGTGTTCACGTACATTAGCTAAATCGTTGGCTTTATTTATTTCATGTTACTGATTGATTGAAATTATATTTGCTATTATTGGAGAACTGCTGTTCTCCATAGTCATATTGTATGGGGAACTGTTGATTCCCTTATTACATATCTAGTGAGGTCTTGTTAAATATCAGTCCTACCCAACTCATCTAGCCCAACCAGACTTTCACATCCTGTGAAATAGGTCTGGATATTTTGCGAAGAACTCTTTTTGGTTGTTTACCTTTTTTATTCTATAATTACATATCCAAACCTATATTACTTTTATGTGATCAACGTATACAAATGAAGCTGCAGGGCAAGTTCTATATGATAGCTGTGAGACCAGTTTTGCTGTATGTGGCGGAATGTTGGGCGGTCAAAAAACAATACATCCATAGAATGAGTGTAGCGGAGATGAGGATGTTGAGATGGATAAGTGGCAAGACAAGAAGGGATAGAATTCAAAATGAACACGTTCAAGAAAATTTAGGTGTGGCACCAATAGGCGACAAGATGAGAGAGAGTAGACTTAAGTGGGTTGGCCATGTGTGGCGCAGACCCAGTACAACACCTGTTAGGAGGTGCAAGGGGTAGGCCCAAAAGGACAAGGGGTAGGCCCAAAAGGACATAGTTGGAAGTAGTGAGAAAAGATATGGGGACATGACCTCATTGAGGGTATGGCCTTAATAGAGCAGAATGGCGGACCAAGATTTATTTAGCTGACCCCAATTAGTTGGGAAAAGGCTTTGACGATGATGATGAGTTAGACCCATTTAGAAGTACTTATTATCACTGATAATTCAATATTTCAATAAAGTTAATGCAGATAGTGGATTCTATTGTTTGGCAGTGTGTATTATAAAGTTGTCTGAGATAGGCAGTTTATATATCAAGCCCATATCTTTGAAAAGCTGTTTTTTAAGTAATTTGCTAAAAAGTACATATTTGGCCAGAAATAGCTAAAAACAGATCAAAATGCCAAAAATTTATGTAAATAATTATATTCTATATAAAGCAATATATGTACCAAATAGCTAATAGGTAATATTTTCTGGATTATATTAATTTCAAATAAGACAGTCTCTTTTAGAGAAAATTAATTGACATCCAAATAGGCCCTTAAAATATACAACATAGATGAAGAAGAGTGCGGAAGAAGAAGGTCTAAAAGAGAGAAAGGGAGTATGAACTACAACATTCTCAACCCAATCCCCTCTCAAATTGGGCAAGCCATCTTGATCACTTATAGTCAAGGTTTTCCAGCAACCTTGGTAAGAATGTCTGTTAGCTGGTCTTCAATTTTCACATATGGAAGGCAAATTTCTTTGGTAGGAACTTCTTCTCGAATGAAATATTCGTCGGTATATCTCTATATGCTTGGTTTTATCATGCCAAACTGGTGTGTGAGCTATGCCAATGGCTGCTTTGTTATCACAATTCAAGGAGATCGACCCCTGCACATGAAAGCCGAGCTCTCGTAATAGGATTTTAACCAAAGCAATTCACACACACCATGATCCATGGATTTGTACTCTACTTTTCTTGATCAGGCTACAACTGTGATGTGGGAAAATTGACAAACAGTAAAGTCAACAAGAAAACAAGCCAAATGCAGGCAATAATTAGAAGAGACCTATGGTTTCTTCCGTAACCCAAGTAGGGTTTCAAAAAGCAGGTGACTTTTCGTTCCTTTTTTCTGAAATAAAGTGACGTGAATGAGCCTTTAGCCTCCCACGCTCCACTTTTATATTATTTTTAATGTTCAAAAGAGAATAATTGTCCATTTTTTGTAACTAAGATAATAATAGTCCATACAAATAGTCAAATGATCCATATGTCCTAACTTAAGCACAAAAGTCCATGATGCTCTTTATATAACTCGAAATGACCAAAACAATCCCAACTTAGATCATCATCATTATCATCATCCAAGCCTTATCTCAATGATTTGGGCTCGACTACATGAATCCTATTCCTCCATTCTTCTATATCACGGACTATGTCATCAGTAAGACCTAAAGTCACCATATATTTTCTTACTGCTTTTATCCATGTCCTTTTGGGCTTTCCTTTTTCCCTTTTAGAGCTTTCCATTTGAACCAAATTGCACCTCCTAATAGGTGCGGTATTAGGTCTACGTTGCACATGGCCACTCCACGTAAGTCAACTTTTTCTCATCTTATCACCAATTGACTCCACACCCAAGTTCCCTCATATATATTCATTTTGAATATTATCCTTTCTTGTCTTGTCACTCATCCATCTCAACATCTTCATCTCAGCTACGCTCATTGATGCAAAATGAGTCTTGGAAATTAAATCCGGCCTTCTTTCGACCTTAAACAAGCAAAAATTTAACAATACTGGAGGGAAAAATATGGCTGTAAATCAAGCCATGGAGAAGAAGCCATCTTTCTTCATTAATAAACAAACTCTATGTAAATATTCAAGTCTCTCTCTAAGGGGACAGTTCCACATTAAATATAAGCTAAAAAGGAATAATAAGAAAACCCAAAAATAGACTCTCTCTCTCTCTCTCCCCCACGTCAATCTCTCTTCCCCCCCCACATTAATCTCTCTCTATCTTTGACCACATCTTCCCCTCAAATCTTAATTCCCATAAAAATAGGAATCTTTCTCTTACCTTATCAACTCCTCCATAGCTCACCCATAACCTCATGTACAAACCCAATAAAATACAACTAATTAAATCCTAACTAAATACCCTTTTCCAAACTTTCATATTTTCTCTCATAGATCTTCTTTTCTAGGAAATTTCTTTACCCCTTACGTGATCAACCCTCTCCCATCATTCCCTTTCTATTTATCTAACAATCCTACCTAGAATAATATCATGGAATCCTACGAACTAGGAAATCTATCAACCTCATCATAAATGAAATAAAAATCCCTTTTTAACCCATACATGAATATCTCTAAAATTCAGTTCCAACAATAAATAAACAATAAAAAAGAAATTATATTGGATGCGATTTGCATTATACTCCCCGGGTTGGAAAAAAAACTCGTCTCGAGTTTTTCCTCTTGCATCTTCATCATCATCCCTTAGTTTTTATTTAGGTAAGTCAGTGGGGGAGAAGGCCCCCTACCCGTTTTTCATTAATAAAAAACTAGAGGAAAACAATTAACGTATAACCTTATGAAAAGGCACTTGCGCCAGATCATGTAATAAAAGAGAAGAAATAAAATCTAGTGGTCTATGGCGCCACATAGTGGCATCAGAGCCAGCAGCTGCCCTCTTAGCAAGGGCATCAACAACCATGTTAGCCTCACGAAAGACGTGTGATGGACCATCGATGAGAAGACAGTCTGGGGCAACAATTGTCAACAATCGTCTTTAGCCTCCATGGAGCATTGCATCGATTTGAAGGACATTCACAAGCAAAGCCGAGTCACTTTCAATCTGAATTGGAAAGCAATTACTTTGAATAACCAATTGAACTCTTTCCTCAAAAGTCAAGAATTCTGCATGGTTATTGGAAGCAAGACCAAAGTGTTTTGCAAAAACAACAATAAAACCACCCGCACTGTTCCTGATAACTCCACCACCACCTGCTAAGCCTAGATTTCTGAAGGAAGCACGATCAATATTCAGTTTGTAATTGTGAGTCTCAGGGAAAGACCACGCTACCTAGGTAAAGGTCACAGCTCTCTGCTGCTGCCAAGTTATCCAGAGGTTACCAGTGATAACCTTTTCTGATAAAGGAAAAGACCATTTCAACTTCTGCTAGTGTCTGAACATGCATGGTAATCCTTTTAACAATAAGCTCTCTGCTGGTGGGTCTTAACTCAAAAACTCTTATGTTGCGCTCTTCTCATAGAAACCAAATAACAGTAAAAAAGATGGAAGACCAAATATTACAGAGTCCGTGTGATTTAAATCTGAAGAGTAACCACCACCTGAGTAGATCAGGGACAGAGGTACCAAGGACAAACCTTTTTCCACATCTCCAAGCGAGTGATCTCCATATCCTGCACAAAGGCATATTGAAATAACAGATGAAAAAGATTGTCATCATGGTTACTGCAAAAGGGACATAAAGAGTCCAATTGCATGCCCCGCTGCTGTAGTAAGAATGAAGTGGGTAATTGATTATGCAAGGCCAGCCATGAAAACCACTTCTCCCTTGGGTGGCATTTGGAGGACCAAAGTGCACGAAAAATAGGTTGTGAAGAACCTTGATACCTAATAAAATCCCATGCCCTTTTAATAGAAAACGATCCATCAGCAGAATGAATCCAAACCAGTGAGTCCTTCTTGGGCTGTAGAGGGAGAGTATAATTCTCAACCTCTCTCCATATATTTGTCAAAGAATCAGATGTGGGATATGGCAGAACCCAACCTTGAGGAGCTCCACTGATAAAATCTGAAACCCTCCTTCCTATTGTTGCCCCCAAAGCTTCCTGAATGTCAGCTTCATGGATAAGAGGCTGACTTGCTAACTATGGGTCCATCCAGAAATCCACCAACTGACCATTACCGATATTCTACAACCATCGTCCTCCCTTAGTTGATGGTGAAGCCCTACATCTCCACGCAATTGTTCTTTGTAAGGCATGAAGTTGAACAACCGGTATGCATCTTCGATGGCCATCCATTTGGCATATACATTGCAGAACAAATTGCTGATTGAGGGATCAAAATCGATTACCCTTGCTGAAGAAGCATTGTTTCCAACCAAAGAATTTTGATTCTTGGCAAAAAAAACTTCCTCCCATGACAAACACATTCAAATATCTGCACATGA